GAATCCTACTGAGTCTCCAACAGGATCTCCTTCAGAAATTGCACCTTGGAACTACAGCATAAAAACTATCTGTGCAGTTTTTGCTTCCCCGTCTTCCTCACTGACACTTGCCAATGAAGGAGAACACGTCTGTCAAAAAAACCTTTTAATGAGATGATGCATAAGCTACCATCAATGTGGTGATGCTATATGCAAATACAGGAGTGTTACTAGAAGAGTCTTCTAGTATTTGAGGTACCTAACTGTGTATTTACTACATTCAGAAAAACACACAGAGAGTTTATGACATTTCAATATTGCAGTTAAGTAAATGAAAAGAATGATAGAAGTCACTATACAGTGCAAGATTGACTTTTGATTATGATGCAAAATGCCAACTTCAGATTCTATTATGGAGAGAAAAGTCACAGATGCAGGCATTAAATTTCTCACGCCAGAAGGCACTGTCTATTTCATATCCACTAATATGCCAGATTGGGCAAAATCTGTTTCAGCAATTTCAACTGTGCAAGGTGGAAAATATTGCAGATCTCTTTGTAAAAACAGAGTTTCTTCCACCGCAATGAACTATAAAACTTTTTTTGACAGAAAAATGACTACTACTTATGAGTATGTTTTAAATTGCTATACTTTAAAGCAACAATGGCAGAGAATGTTTTAAACTATTTTCCCCACTCTAAAATTATGGCATTAAATCACAATGAAACACCTGTACAGAATTTAAAAATTAATATTTTCTTACAGTATTTGTAAAATACATTAAGTATATACATATTTGCATTCCACAGTGTTTCTGATTGCTAATGTCCTTTGTAGAGATGCCTCAACAGTCAAAACCATATGCCTGCAAATTAAAGACTTTTTTTTGCCTCAACATAAGTGAGAAATCTGTGCTCCTGTTACTTGTACTATTTAGTCTACTACACAGACATAACTCACCTCCCCCAAGTGTCTTTCACTTGATTTTATTCAGAATGCTGCACGTTTCTTTTAACAATACTTTAAAAGAAGTATTAGGTGATATACCCTTAGATCAGACACAGAATTCCCTGTCTTAAGAACCGGAAAATAACCCTCTCCGAACAAGACTTTATTATCTATACTGCATTCACAGTTAAGCTCAGCCCTTCGCTTGGAGTTTAGCTGTTCTTGGAAGTTCTACATAATTGCTCAGCTTATCCAAAAATCCACACTGTCTATACACACAAGGTATCTCTAACTCACCTAACATGTCAGGAGAACACATAGAATGGCCAATGGCCACCTCCAGGTAATAGCATTTTATAGCCAACTGTTTCTGAAGTAAACAGCGGTTGGACAACACAAGCTCAGAAAGCTTCGCACGACTGTAGACAGCCCAGTAACTTCCACTCTTGGTAGACAAAGCAAGCAGGAGGAGCTGGACACAATGTTCAGCTGATAAAGATAGGTTACGTTTTTATTTTAAATACAGGTACAGTGTTTAAACCATGACCTGTGATTTATAACTGTTGCTGTTTTACAATTAAGTTGTTAGTATAAAATAAATGGCTAATGTTCCTTCTCTTAATTTTGTGTTACATATTATTTTTTTTTTAATTATTATTTCTGGGAAGCTTGAGACTCAGGAGTTTCAAGTTACAACACACATATCTTTTCTGAGGCATTTCAAATTATACTTTTTACAATGTGATTTTGTCTAGAAATCCCAAACTTGTTATTGGATTTTAGAAAGGTACCTCTTGGTTTTGTTTTGATGTTTTGTTTGACTGAAGCTGCAGAAAGGGTCAGGTATTTAATAAAATCACAGATTATAAGATGGCAAGAGCAAATACAATGAAAAGCAGCAACTGAAATAACAAATAAAGTGAAGAAATTAGAAATATGAAGGAAAGGCTTTGCATAGTTTCAATAGTAGGGGAACGAGGAAAACACTGCAGACCGGGGGAAGGTAAATGAATATCACTTCCATCAAAAAATCCAGTTTGTCACAATCTTGCGATTTTTTTATGCGTTTTCCTTTCATACAGTCTGCTTCAAGTAAGAAGGAATGCTTTTCCAATAATCTCTTGATAGTTAATCAGTTTGACCTTTGCATTGACTTTACAGAATAAAACTGTTTCCTAATTTATTTTTACTTTTCATAAACCTCTAGGATGATCTTCCATCTTTAAAAAGATCAAATATTTTACTATACCTAATATCAGATTATTGAAGATTTTAGTACATGCATGGGCAGTTCATCTAATCCCATTGACCTTTTCATATTAAAATCCAGTTTTATGCTTTCTGTTATTTGTTAAAAAAATAATCATCTGTTATTCAGATGCTGGTTCCTTATTTTTATATGGAAATCAAAGCAAAACAACACTTTCTTTTTCTTTACGTGAAATTGAGAAAATGCATTCAAGATTTAAAAGAAGTAGAAAGTGATAAGTCTTGTAATTGGAATTTTAAGTATAGTTCAAACTATGAGGCTGCCTTCTGCCTAAAAAGTGAGCAGCATACATCTTAAGTAATCAGACTGTCACCTGTTTAGCTCCTGTTTCCTTATTTAAAATTCATACAGAGATAATATTTGCTGGTAGATTTCCTTCTATTTTATGTCTGACTAACTGATGCCAATGTCCTCATATCTGTAGCCAATTTATTCCAAAAGAAGCCTCCAACAGGAAAAATAAACCTAACTGTCCATCCCTGAAATCACTGGATTATAAAACACCAAACAACAAATAGGAAATGAAAATCTTCTCTTCCACACAAAGCGTGTTAACTTTCTACATAGAAAAAACAACCACAACTGACAGAGCAGATGAACATTACAATTAAACAAAAACCAAAAAGTACCATGGGGAACAGTTGAGGCAAGTTGCACAAATCACATTTATTCTGCCAAAAACCTGCTTCATTACAGAAAGCAAAGAAACACTGAAAGGGAAGTTCTGGTCATTAAAAATGAACAGTAATTTATGCTTTTGATAAGAAGCCAGTGTTGCTTATAGGCAATGTAATGAGTTTTTATCTTACAGAATGAAACAAATTTAACTGCAATGAAACCTTTTTCATTTATACATATTCTAAGCATCAGGATTATTAGTGACTTTGCTCCTATTAATATGCTTTCCTTCTTTTGGATTCTACAGTGTAACTAAACTTTACTAACTCTTTTGGTTTCTTTCCTCAAGTCAACTTACAGAACATCAGAAGCTTTGAATCAAACTATAAAAATCTCAAAGCTGCAAGATAAAGTGTTAGCCACAGAAGAAAATAAATAGAAGATCATCAAATGTGCCTGGTAAACCATAAGGCTTTGTAAAGAATTTAACAAGAGATGCAGGAAGAAAAAGATCAAACTTCGAAAAAAAAGAAATCACCTCCAGAAAAGAACTACCAACTGATAGAAAATATTTCTGTAATTTAGATAAGACGACAAACTGCTATTTGCATGAATAAAACTAGTAACTATGTTACTCTATCATAGGTCCTTGTGAACACCCTGGCCAGACCAGTGACACTTACTGGGTTAAAAAAAACCCAACAGAACAAAAAATTTAAAAAATGCCACACCATGATCAGTTTGAGGAAGTCACGACTCCCTATTAGAGGCTGGGAACAAACAACATTGACAGCAACATTAACAGCAATTGTGAAAATTCTTTGAGTAATATCCACAGTAGTGCTTACCTATAAGTAGCCAGCTACATGCTGTTTAAGCACACTTTTATTTATATATATATACGATACATTCAAGATGGTACAAGTTATCTCTTCAGTCTCCACACTACCTTAAAACACAATACCATCCTCAACCCTATATAGACAGATCAGTTCCATTTTGTCAATAAGCATTTGTGCCAATGAAGAATTCATCAGCAAAGAAGAAAGTGAAGCATGGAGACATCTATTCAATACAAATACAATTTAGTTTCTATGCAGAAAAACCCAGGGAAAGGTACTTGCGAAGTCTGAAAAACAGCAAAAAAATTGTATGCGAAAGACAATGACATAAATCTATGAGTAAGTTGGAGATGAAACAATAGTAACGTTAGGTTGCTTGACGAACTATTCCCTAGGTCCCTGAGAAAACAAGAGTTCTGCTCTCACTAGTTTAAGACAGAAGAGAACAACCTGAAAGAAAACGATAGCCTAATTAGAAAAAAAAATAATCTAACAGCTAACCACTGCACTGAAGAGAGTCACTGACGGATAGCAGTGAAAAAAAGGAGACAAAAATTTGCAAGACAAAACCTGGATAGAGCAAGCAGAAATGTCTATCAAACTTCTTTTCCCCTCTCCTTCCCTGTATCATCTTGTGCTGCCCCAAATTCTGATTCACCTTCTAATGAATCAGTAATGCCCAGTAAAAGTAAAACAGTTTGCATTATCTTCAGCAACTATCCCACAGCCTTCACTTTGCAGAGCGAAGCAACAACTGTGGCAAGCAGCACAGAGTATTTCACATAAAGAGATATCCAACAAACGAATTCAGGTTTTTTATCACATTCACCAGGCTGTACTACTGACTGACAAAAAAAAAAATATCACTATTAATCATTGACTGTATAACATAATTACACTATGTATTTCATATACAGTCTGGGATCTTTAGAAAGCATACCTGTTATTCTTTGTTCAGGTGTTCAATCAAGTGGTACAACGAGAAATATTTTAACATGCGCACACACACAGAGGGGTTCACTCTCAAGCAACAAGACTTCAAAGGCTCAATAGTAAACTAAACATCATCATTACACCATTCACACAACTTCCAATATGTGTTTTTGTAAGTACTTCACTGAAATATGCTGTATTATTTCCACAGGCTACTTCAGAAGAGAAGTATATTACTGGTTCTCCCCTCCTCACTTTTTCTCAGGTCAATAAATACCAGAAAAGCAAAATCCACGTGGATTATCAATGCTTACAGGTTACATAATCCCACAATCTAAAATGGAATGTTGGGAGTACTTAATGTCAAAGCAAACAGCTATTACCTTTACACGTTTCATCTATTTGCTTACCTTTACTCGCACTCTCAACATGTTGCAATTCATCCGGAAATTTTAAGATGTCCCGGTAATTCTCCTCACAGATTTCTGCCAGAAAATGCAGTAAGGTTGTTTTCTGATCTGATGATTTAGTATCTCGAATCTAAAAAGTGGACACAGGCAAAAAAGAGAAAAAAACAAACACTTTTTTTTGTAACAAAATTTAAATAAAGTGAATATTGCAAACGTAAACTCATTAGCAAAAAGTTATCTATATTTGTTGCCTGCAAATGAAACAAATTATTTAAAAAAATGAAATTTCTCCAATTCTTTATAACTTAGGACTACAAAGCAAAGTTAACTCTATGCTGTATTTTTTCAAACAATAATTATGCTGATCTGAAATAAACTAGTCTTCTTGAAAGTGATAAGACACTCTCTTCTTCACTAGCTTAAGTGCATTAACTCCTACAATCAGTTTGGTATTTTAAAAAAAATAATTCTGAAATAGTTGTTAAAATACAGGGCTAGTAGGAAATCTCCAAGTAAACACAGACACTTGTGGCTAAATCCCGTGTACATGTGCAAAGGAATATCATGAACTTGAATGAATGAGAAAATGAATTTAAGTCCATATTTAGTTTCTCCATTTTCAAAGAATGAATGTACGAGTTGACTGAAGATTTAGGGGAAGTAGAGTTCACCCCTTCCTTACAAAGGCAATAGAGAGAGTAGGTGTGTGCAAGAGTTTGAGACGCGTACTTCACTTTTCACACAGAATTAGTATTACAAGTATATCTGTAAAGATTTGTTTTAACCGCATTTTACTAACTCATCTCGTACAGTTCTTACACAGAAGCAAGCTACAATATACACAACAAATGAAATCAGGGATTTGTTTAAGAAGAATACATAAATGTGTGTGTAAAATCTCCTATTTGTTTTCTCATTCTCTAAATCACTAGAAGTTCTAATTCTATAATCCTCCTGACAGGCTTGCCATCGATGTTCAATTTAATACAGGCCTTTCAGCTTTAAGGATTACCCTGTTAAGAATAAACGAGTGCAGTTGAAAAACAGGCTTTTAAAAATATAAGGTATTTAGGCAATTAAGAATGCAATTTAATTCATACCAATTCGGTGATTGAAGACTAAACAATGCTCAGTAATGGTATGCAGTTAAAAGGTTTTAATGTGTTACATACATAGAAGTTTTTCCAACTTGAAAAAAAAAAGTAGATTTAGTAGCTAAACATCTGCATGGTAAAAAGAAATTGCATTTCAATTTGTCTGTGAACAAGAACTGTGGGATTTGCAGTCTTTGATCTCTCTGACATCATCAAGTAGATAAAGCATTTTTTTCTAAATGGACAAATTTATTTTGCCTTCAGATTACAACAGAAACAGGTTTTGTCGCCAACAGTAACTTCATATTAACAAGACTTAATACTAGCACCTGCTGAGTTATTTAAAACCTGTAAACAGTCATTCCAATCTTAAATGACTGTGTCAAATTTACTACTTTGGCCCAATCAGAAAACACGTCTCAGCTACATTCAACCAGATTTGGTTTTCAATACCTAGGACACACAACGCTTAACATTTAGCTCTGTTTGATCTTTAGAATCAATATATATGCTTTAAACATCAAGTTCTAAGCCTACTAATATAATAAGAAGATAAGGAAGATAGGTGTTTCTTCAGTGTAGTTTAGCAGATATTATTTAAACATAAAAATAGAAATGAACGCTACGAACTGGAATGGTACCAGCACAGCTGTGTCTTCACACTCTCTTTATTCACAGAGTACACTTGTAGTCAAGGTAAGGTTTTTTGTCTCCTCTCTCTTTTTATTCTTGGGTACAATTTAACATTTTTGACTTCATGGAAAAGACAATTACGTGTATTTCGAATTAATAATTCGTACTTTTAAAAAGTGAAATTTGTTTTTCTTACATCCAGTGAAGTGTCCCTTGTTGCAGTTGATGACCCCTGTCTCTCGTTCTTTTGCTGTACACTTGTCTAAAAAGCCTGGCTCCCCCTGTACAGGACCTTATTTGGTACTGGAAGGTTGCTACAGGGTCCCCCCCAAAACCTTTGTTTCTCTGGGCTGGACAAGGCCAGTTCCATCAGCCTCTCCTGCTCCAGCAGCCCCTGACCAACTTGGTGGTCCTCCACTGAAGCTTATCAACAAGAAAGCTCCTTTCGTATGGAACACTGAACACTATGCTCCACATGCAACCCATCAAACACCGAGTTGAGAGCAAAACAAGTCACTACCCATGATCTCTTGCCTATGCCCCTATCAGTAAAGCCCAGGATGCTGTCAGCCTTCATTGCTGCCAGGGCACATCACCGACTCGTTTTTCTCCACTGGGACAGACCCCTGGTGGTATGCAGAGTTGCTTCCCACTCTCAAGACAACACCTCTGCAGCAGTTTAAGCCTGTCCCAAGCGCAGGATTTTGTGTGCAGCACATCACAATATCACCGTGCTAAGTACAAAATCAACTTTACAACAATAATACTGCCCTTCAGCATAAAGCTAAGTTTTCCTTCCATAAGCAAGAGCTCTGGAAAAGGGCGAGTTTAAGATGGTAGGCTTAAACACAGAATACGCTTAGTGCCTCTGTTACGTTAAAAGATTAGTGAACAGAAAATCAAGGCTTACTATCTAGTTTCTCATCAAAAGACTACTATTTAAAGAAAACCAACAAATGTCAGGTAGCTGATGTGTAGTCAATGTCTTCTCAATGAAAGAAACATCTTATTGGAGTTAGCAGACTATGAGCAAAACATCGGGGGAGGGATATCATTAGTTGTCCCCCCTTCTCATTCCTTGCACTTTTACTTGGTACTTTCACAGATGATAAATGAATCTAAAATTTAATATTTTAAAGTATGATGGCTCTTAAATATATCTTACAGACAATTCAATCAGAAAAACATTCTTCAATGAAACATTCTACAGGTTCTAAATTCCAAGTGATATTATGGGTTTGCATGGGAGCAAAAAGAAACAATGACATCCATTTTACAGTCTTATGAAGCGTTCCAGTCTCCCAACTGTAGGTACAGATGGGCATCGGCCAGTGCAAAAGAAAAGGGGGACTGTACAAAGGATTGCACCTTTAGTAGTAGCCAGAATTTCCTTGCTAGCGGCCTCGATATGTTTAACGAAAACCAAAACCAAATAAAATGGGTTAAAAAAAAAAGATTTTGCTTCCTACCTAGTTTGTACTGGAACACAAGTGTGTGAACCCTAAAAAAACCCTGCCTTTCAAATGTTTTTGCATATACTCATCCTTTTAATTCTCAAAGCATTACCATATTAGAGAAGACATAATAGTTCCCTGACTTGGTATACCAACAAAACTCACCAACAGTAATGGAATTCCACATTTGGAAAACAAATAATTGCTTTACTTCTACATCTTCTGTAGTGTTAACACACTGCAACATAAAAGCTTTTATAGAACAGCACCTGTATATATCACATCGGTGAATCATTAACAATGCTTGTCACTGACTTAACATTTTTGAAATTTATTTATTTTTAAAGACAACACTAACACTACAGTGTTAAAATTTTTAAATATAGGTTTTGATTCTACAGCCTTTCTTTCTCCGAGAGACAGAATTTGGGAATAACACATTAAGCCAAAAAAAACACAAAACCAAGCCACTAGATCAGCATAGGATTCAGAAAGCAGCTTCCCACTGAATGTTGAAGCATCAATTTATATGGTCAATACTATCAGATTCATTGCTTGGGAAAGGATTAAAGAATAATATACAGAGAACATAATACTCACAGCACACCCATTCAAATCAAGTAATTTCCAGAGTAAGACATTTAGATCTGTAGCTCAGAAATAACATCGATATAACAAAATCTCCTTTACATGCAGTTATCTTGGTAAATCATTTAAAACGTGCAAACCACACCATAACCCACTTCCAGAATTATTTATTTATTTATTTTAATGGGTACTTTTGGATTAAGTTTTCAGGTGTGAGGGGTAAAAGTGACAGCAAATGTAAAGAAAATTTTAACTACCACTAGATCGACATTTGACTATTATAGCTATAAAAAAAGCTTTCTATTGCTTTTTATAAGATTATATAACTTTTCCTACCCTAGAAATCTTTCCCACCTTAATAGAAAAGGGGCTGGTAGACAATTAATAAATGTACACTGGTCGGTAATAGTTAAACCAGATAACCAGCTCATCTTGTACAATTTGCACTATGAACAAGTAGTAACATAATATTACTTACTACATAAAATCTACATTGATCCAGCCAGAATACTACAAAAGCTTTATCAAAACAAAAAGATGTCTGCTGTTAGTCATTACATTAATACACCACAAAAAGAACAGAAGCTGTACCCTACGTCTGCCTAAAGCAGACCTCTTTTCTTTCAATTAAATTTCTGTCTAGCATAACTTTACAGAAATATGAGGGTTCTCCTGTCCTGGCTAAGAGATAGCAATTGCTGCAGTAGGGTCCAGAATAGCAGTTGCATCATTCGTAAACATTAATCAAACACAACAACTGGTAAAGATTGACCTTTAGTGAATTACTACAGCAGCCTCTCTGAACTTTACAATTCTTTCTGCCATATTTATATTTGCACAGAGCATTTAACACTTAGGCAACCATGAATGCTGTAGTGCATACATCAGAGTAGCTGCTACTGCTTGCCAGTCTTGATACAGCACATGACTTCTAATGTTGGTCCTCTCTTCCTTGAACAAAATTAAGTTCTCTGGCTTCTGCCAAAGGTTGTTTATCGTAAATCCTTTATTTTTCAATAATATCATGCACTGTAATATAACATTCAGAAAGATAATCTGTTTTCAAGGATTTGCAATTACTGTTCAGGCATTCGCTTTTAGCGATGACCAACAGCTTTGAATTTATGCTTTCTTTTCTTTATAATGTTTTATTAAAAGGTGTTACACAGTAACAGATTTCTGTGTACAAGATGATCAGCTCTGTTTTAAGAATATTTATTTTACAAAACCAAACATTTACCCCAGATCAATACCTGCTTTTTTTCTTTTCATTTTTTGGATCATATAATGTAAGTACTACATCTACTAAACAGACAATTTTAAGATTGTTCAAGGATTAAAAAAAAAAAAAAAAAAATAATCAATACAAAACCCAGGTTTTATTGAAAAGTTAATTCATCACAGTAGGATACCTCATCATTAAAACAACTCTGCTTTCTATGTGTATTCTGCACATAGAAATATGTACACATGGACATGTGTTCATCCTTGCTGACAGCTGGCTCAAAAACCAAAAAATTAAAAGCTCTCATGATAAGCAGAAAGTCCATTGATGTTAAAGATAGTTTCAGTCACTGGTCTAAAAAAGAAAAAACCTACACACTAAAAACTTAGAAACATCAAGCCTTTACAAATCATTGATCTAATATGCACTCGTTTGATTCCCCTTTTCCTAGTATGTTTTCTGGTTATTTTTTCTGAGACTTAAATCCTTGTCTTTGGGCAAAACATGAACACACTGTAAAGAACAACTAAAAACTAACATGAGTCAGGTCAGCTAGATTTATTATAAATTCTGATAACTGATAAAGTCTTTACAGAACAAGAATATTCAGAGGAAAACACTTATGTAATTTATATTTCACTTTGTCCCATCAAGTATCTTATAGTGAGTCACCAAAAAAAGTCCAAAAAATGAGACAAAGAAATGCCCAACATTTTAGAACACTAAGACCGCATGGTCTCGTCTCCTATTGAAGCTGTTCTTCCTTTAGGCAAGTAACGTTTAGAACTGGTAAGAAATTCTTCTCCTCTTTCTAAAGTTTCTTAAAAAAAAAGTAGCAGGTTTTATGGCAAACAAAACAAAAAATTAGGATAAAGTTTCTTTGGCACATTAAATATGACTTTAATATAACAATGTACTTGAGGCTATAGAAGAGTAACTTCTAAATTGTAACATACTATTGCTTATCATGGTTTGACACATGAAAATAAACAGTGAAACAGTGCAGAAAGTGTTTCACAAAATATTAAAATAAGTTAGTAATTTTTATGCTTCACAGGTATTCTATCAAAATACAAAATGCTGCCAAGTTCCTCTTGAAAAGCTTGAAGACTGAAATACCTTCCCTAGGAGAAGAAATAGACACTTGAAAATTATTCAAGGAAGACCTCTCCTATAGTGAAAGAGCCTTCTCAAATTGCCACCACACAAAAAGAATTTAAATAAAATAAAATTTTTTCAATGTTCACACAGCCTTCAAATTTTAGTAGCATCCATATGCCCCACAGAGCAAAAACGTGTAAGCCATGTGACACTGGCAAACAAACTGCTACCTTGTTCTTGCTGTTAAATGTCATTTATTTCTCTTATTGCTTTTTTCAGGAAGAAAATATAAATTAGAAATTCTAATTCACAGCAAGATTTCAATAAACAGGACAATACACTCACCCTACCATGCTTACACACACAGAAGTTTTCTTTTTCACAGCGAAGGCAAATTACCGACCAATAATACTAAGTTTTGAGCCTGCCTGAATAATGGAATAAAGCTTGTAAGTGGCTGTAGACAGATATTAAATCTGGTGCTTATAAAAAATATTGCCACCTGATATAATTTAATATTTTGTACTATTCACAACAGTTAAAGGCTTGTCAGACTGTACACTTAGTTAACAACACAAAGTCAGTAAAGCCATCTTACTATTTTGGGTGGAAAGTGGGAGGGCAGAATTTGCAAGCTATTAAACAAGGAAACCAAATACAATAATGAGTTTAAAATAATCAATGCATAAAGAGAGTCATTACCCAAATGTAAATTTAGATTCTTAACAGTAATTAAAAAAAAATCCATTACAAATACTAACTGTTTAAGTACCTCATTTATAAAATTAAACACCAATGCAGTAGAGGGTTAATTCTATAAATATGATACTGAAGAATAAGTACAGGTACAAAACCTTCCCTCAGAAATAACTTTCTTGAAAACAAAAAAAAAAGTTAATCAACAGCTTTTGTTTCCGAGGGCAAGGATGAATTCAATAGTCAGATTTTTGTCTCAGTGATTCTAAATGGAATTTAGCTGTAAGCACAGATAGCTACGCTTCAGCAATTATTCAGTTCAGTAGAGAAAAATTTGCAGGATTAGTCAATCTACATTAGCTGTGTCAACATCTGTGGGATGTGCATTGACATCAATTCATAAATTTATTACCTGGAGTGCAAGAATACCTTCTCAAATCTACGATATGCTACAGTACCATTCATGCACTCATTTCCCCTCCCCTTCATTAACAAGTAGTTTACCACTTAAAACATTAAATTCCCTTTATATTCCACTACTACTGAAAAGAAAACACAGCACTAGATTTATAAAAAAATCCTTCAAATTGGCTACTCTTTAAAAAAGCTACTAAAGAATGAACCTATTTCTCAGGTGATGGTTTTTATTTTACCAAAAGTTAGCAACATCTTCATATTAAACTACAGCAAGCTGAGTCTTTCTCTCCTGAAATATGTCGGATCAGACTTGCTGTGTATTTGAAATGTTATTTCCCCCCTAAGGCTAAATCTCCTTCAGGAACACATCAGGTTTCCTCATGGTGCCCAAAAAAGGGACTCGAACACTGGACCCTCTGATTAGACCAAAAAAACAAACAAACAAAAAAAACCAACAAAAAAACCTTACAAATTCCTCTGCAAGATTTATGGTAACATTTCTTTTTTTAAAATCTGTTTACAAACATTGCATCCCCTTATTTTAAAGATACTTTCAAAGGTCCTTCCCAAACCGAGACAGTCAAGTTCAGATTAGTGCCTTACACACATTTTACCATATAAATAAACAAGCACTGCACATAAAATTCTGACTGGTAAAGATTCTGAAGTTCTCCTTGCACCCCACATTTTGCCATCACAACTGAAGTTAAACCTAGAATAACAATGTCCATCTTTAATCCCATATACTTATTTCAGTGACATTGCTTGATGGATAGCTGGGTAGAAGATGGAAAGAAAGACTAGTAACTAGAGCTATTTAACATATTCTGAGGTCTATGTGTATTCTATTTAAAAGATAATAGTTGAACAAATTCAGATCGAAAAAGCTGTTCTACTTGTACAGTCCAGAAAGACTCAGAACAGACTTACGATTAAACAGCTGCCTTAGATCGCCATTGCGCCAAATAAAACAGCTATAACAGGGGACCAACTTAGAAATGTTTACTCTGTCTACCGACTATTAAAAAGGAGGTGCAGTCAGCAAACTACAGTGATTGAATGTTTTTCCCTATTTAGAGTACTTTCTCATGTGTTGCGAGTTTCATGAATCTGCACTTACAAGTTTTATAGCTTTATCTTACCTTGCAAAGAAAACTGATGTTAAAACCGAGAGACTGTGCGTTTCTGGAGCCAGAGTTCATGTAGTTTCCAAGGAACAGCACTAACTCTAAAAGCTTACTGAAGCTTTCACTCTTCTTCATCTCCTCACAAGCCAGTGTAACTGCCATAATGTCAGGTTTGATGTTGTTCACGTGCTCTTCAAACATAAGCCTGAAGAGGATACCATTGAGACGTGACCGCAACATTTTCACTGAACTCATCTACAAAAAAAGAGACATTAAATCAGAACACAAAAAACCAAAAATCTTATTTACATGAAATAGTTTATACTAAAAAACAGTATTATGCACTCAGCAAGAATACAGTTTCTCTATGTTTGCACTGCCTATCTTCTATTTCCAGGAATCCATACTTGTCCACTGGTGTTTTTCCCCAAACCATACACTTTGCCTGAAAAAAAATTCAAAGAAGCAACATTTTGAAAATAAGAGTGCTTTGTGTTACCAAACTATTTAACTTGTGAATTCCAAAGTCACTGGCAATAAATGCACGCTGCCTAAAACCCTTCCTCCCAGCAACAGAAACATAAGCCAGTTCCACCAGTTAACAAGAACTGACCATCAGCCTGAAGGTACATGTTGCAAACATTTTGTCACATCTCTCAGAATCTTCAGAATCTTCAGAATCTTCAGAATCTTCAGAATCTTCAGAATCTTCAGAATCTTCAGAATCTTCAGAGTTGGAAGGGACCTCTAGAGATCACCCAGTCCCACTCCCCTGCTAAAGCAGGACTGCCCAGAACACATCGCTCAGGACAGCATCCAGGCAGGTTTGGAAAGTCTCCAGAGAAGGGGACTCCACCCCCTCCCTGGGCAGCCTGTGCCACTGCTCTGTCACCCCAACCGTAAAGAAGTTTTTCCGTGTGTTGGAACGGAACTTCCTATGTTCCAACTTGTGCCCATCGCCCCTCGTCCTGTCACTGGGAACCACCAAAGTCTCCAGTGAAGTTACCTTTGAACTCTGCTATTTCCCAATTTCCTAAAAGTAAGCTTCTCGGTTTTTCTTCCTTTAGAAATGGTACAACAATGTCTCAAAGTGTGTGTGCCGATACCAGCACAAACACAAACAGCTACACTTCAGTTGGATTAAGCTAAAGAATTATGCTTCCCCGTTTTCCATTCTCTTACTGAGCCGACACACAGGTCTCAGCTTGCTTGGGGTCCCTGGCAGAGTAACAGCAGAAAAAGACAATGAATTCTTAGGGACCCCTGTGGAAGGACATAGGAATATCTAAGCAAGTTGGAGACACAGATCAAGCTCACTAGGCAGATACTTAAATAAACCCAGGTCACATTAGTACTATTGTTCATGAAATATTTTCTCCCATTGTACTGATGTGAGCTGTTAATTGTGATATTTACAGGTCACATCAGTGCTACATCTAACAAGGTGTTTGGTTTTGCAGATTTTCATTTTAATTAAAATGAAACCCAAACTGAGTTTTTTTCAGTTATTATCTACACTTATATCAAGTTATAAAATAAATAATATGAATCCTACCAGTATGGATAGCTGGTATGTTAAAGATACATTACGATATATATTTGCTCCTCAGACTTTTCAAGTTCACACTATCAAAAAGCCCCAATCTGTGTATCCCAAAGAATAAACAGATTCAGGAGACTGATAAAGAGGTTTTGGCTTAAATTCATGACAGTAAGTTCTGTATAAAAAAGCAACATACCCAGAGACACTGAAATAAGGATATACTTCTGGTACACTCGTTCAGTTCTGATCCCATGACATCATGTTTTGTCAGCAACATACTGCCTGCTTTTCAACCTCTGGTCCTTTTGTCCTTACAAATTTTGTAAGACTACTGCCCAAGATACTATCACCTTTATGTTCCATATACTTTGCAAAAGACAGTATAGGACTAATTCCTTCCTTATCTGACAAAAAGAAGGGAGGTTATAAATCACAGCATTGTAACATGGTAAATGACTGAGATACTGAAAACTGTCTACAACAGTGATTCATTAGTTTAAATCCCAAGGACCAATTTCATCAGACTAGCTACCACAATATGTCCACGTCTTTTGTATTTTGCACGAGCGATCAGTAATATTTCCTCCTACTTAGCAGTGGAGATATTCACAAGATATTTAAATTTAAGAGAAATATATGTACTGAAAATTTTTAATCCCTTTAAAAATTTTCATTTAAATGCAAGAGTGATTACTTTTCAAACCTAACTCCTAATTTTAATTAGCAGAATACAGAAAGATTTCTCCCCTAATGTATTCACTACCAATGGTGTTCCTGAAGCACTCCTCGCCCTCAAAGAAAAGCTTTGTTATGTGACAAATCACAGATCTTGGCTATCAAACCAGAAAGATTTTTCTGTGCTCTTGTCTGTTGCCCAAAGCTTTACCATGGCTGCTTGAGGAACCACAGTTTTTCTACTGCTGTTATCTACCAGACAGCTACCAGAAGCCACAGCACTAACTTTCACAGGAAAGACTTGGGTGGCCTGAAAATAATTATCAATTCCTACTAAAATGAACATAAAGATGAAGGCACTCCAGATGGTCTCCAACAATTCCCCTGAAAATAATTATCAATTCCTACTAAGCGCACTCCAGATGGTCTCCAACAATTCTTATGATCAGACTGGAATAAGGAGAAGGAAAGGGTCAGAAAAGAAGCATTTTAGCATAACTTGCCATCTTTTTTTAGTTATCTTCATTGTCACAAATTTCTCTGTGAGCCTCTATAAGCCAACATCATGCAGTCTTGAAACATTATTTTTCTAATCATTCGGCATTTCAGAGATCACATACTGAAAACATCTGCCTTGAAAGGATCTACCCTTCCCTGAGCTGCAGTAGATGGAAATTTAAGTTAATCACATAACTTGCTTTAACTTTTGTAGAACAATCTCCAATTACTGATGTTACTCAATATGGCACAGAAAAAGAGTCGTCAAAAGCTTTAGACCCTGAAAAGAGCACAACAAAACATATATAAGCCAACAGAACAGTGTGACTTAAATATTTGTGAAGAATAATCCTTTACTTCAGCCAATTTGTACTTTCTTTCTTTAATGCTGTAAAGTGTCATGGAACACTGACCTTTTATTTGCTTTGCAAGGTAGTTTGACTACCAAACCAGCAGTAAGTTTTAATTTCATTTTCTGATCTGCATATTTTAGAAGAGTTGTTTTAAGTGGGTTGTTTTGGATACGTTATGCTCTTTATGTATCAATAGAAGATGACCACAAATGCAATTTACTTCCTCCTTCCCTACCCTGCCCCAGTTTCTCTTTCATATGCATGTTTCTAAATACACGTGTTCAATGGCTGATAAATGGATTGAACTTAGAGGAATCTTCTGAAAATAGGTAAGCTGCAAAGATTATATTCACTTAGAAAAAGGTTCACTATTCACTTTGAAAAAGATTATATTCACTTAGTCAAACTGCTTATAGCTTACAAAATTAGTGTCAAAGGCATATAAGAAATAACACATTCAAATAGGTGCACGTAACAGCAAGCATGAGCAAGCATTCCACCACAAACAGTTAAAGAAGCAAGAAAATGAGTATTTCTTTTCCAGCTAACTGTGAGCACTGGACTGCATGCCATTTCCCCTTCTGGGCTTTCATAAAGGCCCTTGTCTGATTTCTCTACCTAATCAAGTTCTTTATTCAGTTCTTTATTCTTTATTATCATCATTCAATTTTCAAGCTCTGTATTAAAACTAGGTTCAAAGGTTATTGGAGGAAGAGGCAAAAAGCACAATTAAATTTGCCTCACTTTCTAAGGAAAAGCACTGACAATCCTATAATAGAAATTTGTCAACTTACTCAGGCTCTTACCAATAATATATTAAACAATTGCCCTTTTTTTTCCTAGCAGTGTTCCAGAAAGATTAATTCTTCAGCAGCTCTAAAAATCACAATGAGGCAAAACAAGCGGCAAATAAATTCAATTAAAACAACTGAATGACTCTAAACCAATGCAGGAGCAATAACCTCGTACAAGTCTTGCTGGTTTGTCTACCTCTCAACAAGACCGTTCAGGAGAGCTAACCCTGGCTCTGCAGCAAACAGGGTCGCAAAATCTGCAAGTCTCCACAGCTACTCAGTGAAAGTTATCCCCTTGCATTAACAATGAAATTACTGATAAACAGGTTTTTTTACCACCTGAAGGAAGTTTTGCGGTCACTAGATACCATCAAAAACACCGCTCCCACTTACAGAACACACACCAGAAAGCGAGTTCTTTGGTCAGCTCCAGTCACTTGTTTTGTTGGTTCACTAAAGAGTTATTCATTCAGATTTGCACCACATAATTGTGGGGTGATCTTTTAAAAACTGGTAATATTCCTCTTAAGTAGACTTTAACTCACAGTTGGTGGTAAAGATAAGTGGGTGAAGTTCTCCGAGTTCAAACACCACTAACACTGCAAAAATTTTCTACTTTTTTTTCACTGGTCCTCTGAGTTGACAGGAAAGGGTTGATACTCACTTTCGAGTACAGTTGAGACTTATGCTTTTATAATACTTAAACTGTTCAATTGGCACTGAAATGGAAAGCAAGTACCCTTATTGAAGTTGCAGCTGTTCCCATGACAAAAAAAATAACTCTTAAACACAATTCTTACGTTTAAAAATCAGAGAACATTCGGCCTAGCTTATTTAATGTTATACAACTGATTACATTATTTTTCTTGTTCTACATCAACACTAACTTTTCTTTAGATGAACTTGTGTTGCCTTTTTTGATCCCAGGACGTACCTTCACAAACAGTTCCAAAAACTAATTTGAATATATAATTGATTTTAACATTTCATCTAAATGAAAATCCAATTCTAATTTTCATTTACAGATCAGCTGAATATTAAATTAATCAGACTCATCTAATAAGTTAATCATTTACTAAGTATTTTTTTTCTACACAAATTTTAAACAATTTATTCCAACCTTTATTAAATTTGATGGGCACAGTGATTATCCAATTAACATCTCTTAATAATTAGCATACCTAAATTAACATACAAATAAGGGTATACATTTTAAATATCACTTAACAGAGTCTTTCTGTCATATTCTATTCCTAAACATATTCTTCTTAACATCAAGGTTAAGATTATTATTAATGCAAAACTCAGAAATTAATTCAACACACAGCAAAAAAGGACTCCAGTCAAGTAAGGAGCTTAAGTTCAGCTGCATTTCTTCCACTTTAATGGACTGTTCAATTAAATCAAAACCAGAAACAAAACCAGCATATTCATAGTATTTATCTAGTTCGAAGACTCTAGAAATAAGGAAGAAACACTACCCAGAAGGAAGTGTGAGATTGATACTCATTGTGCAGCCAGTCCATATACAAAGTTAAACAAGACTATCAGTTACATTCGTCCACTTATCAAATTCATACTCGTCTAACCAAGATGAAGCTAAGTGTGCTGCAAAGAATGAAAAAGACTTATTTTTTGCTTTTTTTCTTTACATTACGAAAAAAAGATTTCCACTGTCTTAGATCAGCCTTTTGGTATCTTTAATAATTATACCTTAAATTTATTTTCAGTCTTTCATTTCCAGCAGCATATTAGCATATACCCAAAAAGAAAACGCCATTAGTCAACTACAACCAAAATTAGTGCAAAATGCAAAACCTGATCCTGCCTGTCCTATGCCCCGACAAAATTTCAGACTAGGTGATTAATGAAGTTGCAGACATTAATGAATTTCTCTCATACCACCTTCTGCACAGGGGTGAAACTGAGCAAACTGTTTTATCTACAAAAAAAACCAGCCAGCACATCGTCTCGGCTTAAGCGGTCACATATAGTTACCCCAATTCTTAAAAACCACATGCTTCTGCACAAGGCCAGGAAAAGCAAACAAACCTTGGCAGTAACAGGATAAACTTTAACTAATGCTATTGTACTGCGTCTGCCTGGGATGGAGTGAGCTGTTCTTCATGGCAGCCTGTGCAGTGCTGCATTTGGACTTGTGACCAGAGCAATGCTGTTAACGCACTAACGATTTAGCTATGCCAAACAGTGTTTGCACAGCGTCAAGGCCTTCTCCCCTGCTCAATCTGCACAAGCCAGTGAACAGAGGGGGTGTGCAAGAGGCTGGGATGGGACACAACCAGCCAAATGACCTGAACTAACCAAAGAGATATCCTGTGCCATATAACATCCTGCCCAGTAATAAAGCATGGAGGAGGGAACCCTAAACAGGTTGGTCATCTTTTGCTCAGGAACTGGCGCTACATCAGTCTACACACGTGAGACCGGGAGCGATTGCCTTTGTTTTATTTCTTTGCTCTTCTTTTCTTTCTTTCTTTCTTCTTCCACTTCTCCTTCACTTATGAAACTATTTTATCTCAACCCACGAGTTTTCTCACTTTCACTCTTCCTTTCTTCTTGCCCACCCCACTGGGAGTGGGAAGCAAGTGAGCCTCTGCGCGGTGTTTAGCTGCCTACCAGGGTTAATCCACAAGACCTCTTGTCTGAATAGGTGCTCTTGACTCCTATCTGTTTCTACCTAAAGGGAAGGTACAGAGAAAATGGAACCAGAGGATTCTTGAAGGTGCACAGTGATAGGTGAAGAAGCAAAAAACAAGGTGGCACTGAAGAAATTCTGACTGTATATAAGGAAAACATTGTTGACCACAAAGGTGGCTGAATAATGAATGCAGTGCCACTGTCACGGCTTTCCTCAGCAGAGTGGGAATTTAGTACTACCCACCACAGAGCAGCACAATGGGAGGATGCAGATAAACAGTACACTAATCCAGAAATACCTTTACATAAAAGCTATACAGAGCAGTGCAGCAAAACCAAATGGGGAGAAAGGTTCAAGCAGAAGAGACAAGGTAGGTATGATATTTATAAAAGGGAAACGTGTGGCAAAAGAAGGAACTGAGTTCAGAAAGGATCCAAGTTGTAAAGATCAAGAGTGGAACATTAAGGGACTTAAAACAGTAAAATGGAGAAATATCTGTAGAGTCTTTTATGGTCATTATGCCCAATTTTCTTTATTTCTTTGCTTATGTTAAATAGTTAACTGAATAGAATTCATAGACATCAGATTCTTCATTTGTCCTAATGCCTGCACCTTGCTTGCTTCCATTCTGCGTTTCCCTTACACACATTTCAGATACTCTCCTTGACAAACTCTAAGTACTCTCCTTCTTTGTTTGGCATTATTGATGTAGAAGGGAAATAAGGAAATATTCATCAGTAAATCAGTAACTCCCTGGCATCTTTTGCTCATTGCCATTTCAAAAATAGGTAGGAAGCGCTGAGTAGACAGGAATTGTTCTGTCCTTCCTTACTTCCTTCCTAGGGATGAAAAGCCCATCTTGTTGTAGAGCTGGAAGTGCTACTGTCATTTCATCACATTGTTTCAGTCACTCTGAAAGCGTGCGTTACGTGACACATAGGGAACAAAGTATTCCTCCAGTGCTTTTACACAGATTTTTAATATACACATATATTCACACACATATATAAAATATAGGATATACAGACATAATGTACCCACGTATATACATACATATATTTATCCATGTATATCAGTAGATATGGATGTTTTCCTATATATATAAGGTATTGTAACTATAGTAATACGAATATTATACTATGCTTACATTTTTTATATATATAGTATGCCATAAGTCCTTTAAGAAAAGCACCAAATATGTATTTATATATATTTTTAGACTGTTACTGATCAATAAATAGACGGTAACGTTTTCCTACTGCAGACCTTGCAGCAAGACTAACATTTCTCACATTTCTACCAAAATTCCTCATCTTTGTTTTGAAATAAAACATTTCGATAACTTTATGCCATTTATTAAAAAAATAAAATCAATAGCCTAAAGTTTTTCAAAAGGTGTAATTGATAGCTTTAATTTTCTAGATCTTCTACAAAAATCTCATTAGGTCAAATTGTGTGTGTCCCCCCCAAAACTGGGCGGGGGGGGGGAAATCACTCAAAAGGCACTTCTGAAGACAAATTAGGGTGAAATCAGAGCTCTTTCAGTAAAAATCTGTTTTCCCTCTTTCCTTTTAAGAGACCTCTATTTCTGTTTTAATATGTTTTAATATATATATCATCATAAAAATCCAGCAAAAGTAAACCTAGCTGCTGTAGAGTTCGGGATAAAATCTAAACACATTACCTCATCGTTATCATCTTTTAAACTGACAAAGTGAAGTGAAAACAGCAACTAATTTGCCTAAGGACTTATCAGGTCTTTGGAAGACCAGAAACAGAAAAAGAGTCTTCCAAGACCTAGCTTAGTACTCAGTATTATACAATCAACTGCCAGCATGTAGTAGGTAACTTATGCAAATCTTCTATTTTCATCTGGAGACAGGTTTAGCCATGATAATACTCGATATCCCTGCTTTTGGAATAGATACACATTGAACACTAATAAAAGCAACAGAATACAATCTACGATTGCAGTTCTAACATGAAGCCACACCTCTTCTAGAGCAGTTTTGCAAGTTTCTAAGTGTTTGCACATATACATATTATATGTATATGCATACATACGTATATGTGTATATACACATGTACACATAAAAATATGTATACACACACGCATTTTGATTTTTAAACAAACGTTAAAACATGACATGATGTATTATGGGCACATTAACTCTTTCAGCTCTTTACAGGTTTTGATACAGCAGAATAAATTTATCAAAGTTGTCAATGCCATTGAGTTAATGGGTCTTCTCTGAACTCTTGGAAATTTAACTGTTTGAACCTAGAGTGTTCTCCACAACTGTTTAATTAACATACAAGAATTGCATACAAGGTAAGACAGTCCAACAAAGGATTTGGTCTAGCACAGAAGTGCCTGTTGCTCTTAATTGCATACTGTAATTCCTTCCAGAAAAGCACCTAATATGTATTTACAGAGATTTTTAGATTGTTACTCATAAATAAATACATGATAACTTTTCCTACTGCAGGACTTTCAAAAACCCTAACCAAGATAATTTAAATACAAAATTTTTCTTTTTAATATATTTCACAAAATAGAACTCTCCAGTTAATTATTGCACTAATACATACCACAACTCCAAACTGTTCTGGCTCAGCAAGATCATTATATTCATCCTTTAATTCGGCTAAGGCATTGAGTTCTTTCTGCTCAGGAAGATTCTTCACTAGGTTCTAAAACAAACAAGGGGGTTATATTAAACTTGTTATATTAAACTAGCTGAGTTCTTAAAATAACACACTTAAAATACCACAACATGGAAATGCATGAAGAAATTAGGGGAAGCTTTTTTCATTTACGCAGCTTTAACACTACATAAACAAACATCAAATCAAGCCAGTAATTATTTAATACAGACATCAGCACTGCTGTTACAGTCTCTAATTTGAAAACTGCCTTCTCAGTATTAAAAAGTTCAACAAAACTCCTTGATACCATCAGACCCTGAAGAATTATACTCTATCTACAATCTTTTTTCCCCCTCATGACTGCATTTTGCTCATTAAATATTAATCAAGAAATAACTGGTCTGTGTAAAACAAGACATAATTACCTAAAAAAAAAATAAAAAAAATCTTTAGACATTCAAAATAGCTGTGCCCAATCTTCATTAAAGAACACTTTACACAAAAAAAAGCAACATCTAAAAATTGTACAAATATTCTGGATGGCAAATATACTGAAACTCAGCAAAAAGCAGAACTTGCTTGAAATCTTATCCATGTCCCCAAAGAAAATCGTATGATTTACTATACGATCTCAACATCTCAAAATACAGATACGCTAAGTGTGTGAAATATTCATATTAAGACTGATGAATACTTTGTTTTAAGAGATATTCAGTAAACATTCAGGCTGTGTGGAAATTTTAATATATACGTTAGTTGAAAACAAAATAATAATGTAACTTCGGGGGAAAAAAAGTATGCATTTACATTCAAGCAAGCTAGCGAGAGTCAACAGGTCTTTTTTTGTTCAAAAAGGTTGATATATCTTAAGATCAAAAAAACAAAGTGAATTAAAATATTATTAATTGATATGATTACACTATGGCTGTCCACACACAGAGGGTGCCCTTTACTTCATTTCCAATCTCCACTCCTTTGTTCATATTAAAGACTTATGACAGGAAAAATCAAGAAAAAAAAAGATTAATATTTTGGATACCGGATATGGGATCCAAAACACTGCAGTAACTTGGAGTAAAATGGGATTCTGTGGAAATCCAAATGGCGTTGAGTTATGGGCAAGCACTAGCCACTGAGGAAATCAAAGGGACTGAGTTGGAGACATTTACCTATATAGAACAGAAGCAGAAATTCCTCCAGATCTAGGTGAACACAGTTTTGAGAGGGTAATTGCCTGACCACACAGTAAAAAGACACAACCTGTTTCTGTATGCTGCGTAATTTATAGACACTTAACATGCATATAGGGGCCAAAGAAGTAGTGCACTTTTGTTATTAACAACTTCTGAGAAATCAACATGAGATTCACTCAACTCCACAGTGCAAAGATTCCTGTATAAAATAACTAAGAAAAACATGCCTTCACAGAGAAATCATTTTTTCTTCCACACAAACACAGTAGTTTGGTATTAAAGAGAAACGGGGTAAGTCCCTGTTCTTCCACAAAAAAAGTTCCTACTTTATGAAGCCACTCTCTGAAACCTGCAGAAGTAAATGGCAGAACCACCATCAGGTTTAAAGGTTTATTTCCAATAAAGTGTCTATGGAATATGCAATTCTATAGCATTTTAATTACAACACAGATTTTAGCAAAGCTACGGTAATGTGCTACAGTTACAAAGATTAAATCTTTTGGTATTTTCTGCAACACCAGTCACAGAAGTAAAACATCTCAAAGTATGATTCTTTAACTTGAAGTTCTTCTGGTTAGGTCATTAGAACATCAGTTCTCCTCCCATGAGAAAAGGTGCGTTGCCATGTGTTCCCATGAGATATGAATAAAATAGGAGGGACGTGCACACTGGCACTATGAGAGAACCGATAACAACTGTTCAGGTCTATGTCACAAAAAGCCTCTGATAAAAAAAAGTTATGTGCCTTTTAAAATCAGAAAAACAGTGCTATAGAAGCATATTTTTTTCCAGATATAAAAATCTTAATGGAAGAAAACTTGTAGTATTAGAGGTACACGTCTTATTTTTAGACCATACCAATCTTGCCATCACTCTTGCAATATTCTTATCCTTTATAGAATTTGATTACTGATCACTCTGCCAGGGTTGATGAAGTAGGCATTAAGATACAACTTTCAGAAAGGCATCAGTCTAATTTGTCAAATTACCAAGTGACAGTTAACTTAATTCTCTAAGCTGAAAGAATTAAACATTCACCCATCTTAATAAGGAAAAACAAAGACAAACAGTCTCATACAAAGTGTTCCTGTTACAGAAAGATATATATTATTTTTTTTTTAAACACTTACACCAGGGAGCTACTGAGTGTCTCAGTGAGCGAAGTTCAATATACTTGACAGAGATAAGCATCAGTTTCATGTGGATGTCATACAATTAAGCTATGGTCTCCTGTCTAAACCTAAGCATGCCTCCTTTCCTATCAAACCCAAAAGCACGTCCCACAAATTTCTACTTTAAAAAAAAAAAGGGGGAAGGATCTGTAAAATGTTCTTGCTCATTTGATTGACTGTTTAATACTGGTAAAGATTAAAGACATGAACAAACTAAGTAACATAATTCTTTTTAACCTATTTTTATTAGGTATACTATTGACCAAACCACGATGTGCTGTCATCAGTTTCACAGGATTTGTCAGAAACGTATATTTCAGTATAAATTAATAAACGTACTGTAAAACATTGTATTTCTGCACTGACGGAAAAAATAAGTGCCTACTACTAAAAACACACTTTTTTTTTTAGCCACGTAACAACAATCTGTTAGCACACTTCTTCATTTCTTTTCCTTCATCCACAGCCCTTTACAGTCTAGAGCTAACAGATCAACTCGTTCTACACTCAGCTTCTCAGAAGGAGAGATTGGCTCTGTTAGCACTGCAGCCTCCCATAAAAATGTTTAAATATGTTTACTTTCATTAATTGTATTGAATAACTGAAAATGAAGCTAAAATCCTTGTCAGCACTGTAGGAAACAGTTTCATAATGTATTCAAGATGATGTGGGTTTAAGTAAAAATAGGGTAAATAAAAATATTTTAACTAAACATAAGTAGTAGTAGCAATCTAAGGCAGAAATTAAGAGGCTGAAACTATCACTCACTACTCACTATCACAATGCCATCAATTCTGCTAAACAAGGTGTTTGGCAACTGTATTTTTACAAGAATTTATCTCAAAGACACACTGGGAATTGAGAATATTTTTTCCGAGAGTGTTTTCCTCACGGAAGAGTTACAACAGTATATAGTCTATCATGTACTCAAACTGATTAATCCAATTAATATCAGGAAGTATTACAACATAAGTTTGAAAAGCAGCAAGAAACGAGGACTTGAGAAGCGTAACTGAAAAAGCACTTTTCGATATGCTCTGTTATGCTATACCCATTTGGCTTTCACCACTTTGGTATTTAGAACAAAGCAGTTTCCACATGTGCATTTTCATAAAGTCCAAATTTTGCCAAGCGTGAAAGAAGGCAAGGTTTGCTTTGCAAAATTTTTCCAATCAGTAGTATTAAAAACTGTTAAACTGGTAAATTAGTTAATAACTCAGAAGATTAGATTAAAAATATACCAGAATAGACTGAATATGAAATAGATGATACAGCCCATTTACTCCAAAACACTTCTAAGAGTATCTTTAGAAACACACCAGGAATGTCTTCTGGGTTATCAACTAAATCCCCCCGCTATGAGAAGCAACTCTGTCACACCGTTCCCTTCAGGAACGAATCAATCTCCAAAGCATCGGTTTTTGAAGATTATAGGCAGTCAAGTTTCTCGACAGCTGCATTCATGATCAATTTATAGACGTGTATTCTGGTGTTAACACTGCCTTTTACTTACGCAACTTCATTTTTCTCCTCAATGCTCACGCACATCGCTCTTCTCCCCATATAGTTATAAGGTAGTCATATCCCCTCTCAGCTATTTATATTGCTAATCTAATCAAGCCAATCTTTTCTGCTTCCTTCTGTAGACTGTTTCTCCATCCCTCAATCATCTTAAGTAGTTTTTAAGTTCAGCTTCTCCATTTTAAATTAATTTTTGAGAAACGTACCAAGTATTTTAGATAAGGTCTTAGAAGTGCATTATTCAAAAGCACAATAATTATCTTCTCTACTGGAAATACTTGACCTGATACACCTTGCAATCACATTTGCCTTTTTTATGGTGTACTGGCTCTCTGGATGAAGTTAATTTTCTCCACAGCAGCCCACATGGCACTGCTTTGACTTGTGACCAAAACAGCGTTGGTAAGACCCCAGTGTTTTAGCTGCTATCGCACAGTGCTTGTGCAGCTTGAGCGCCCCCTCTGCTTCTCCCCCTGCAAGCAGGCTGGGGGGCAATCTGCGCCCCAGCCCTGACAAGCCCACCAGGGCAAGTGCTTGGGACTGGGTGAGGGCTGAGCCACTCCACATGCGGTGACTCCAGTGGTAGCTATACTTGTCCTGTTGAGCACAGACTATTACTTCTCTTCCATCATCTCCAACTGATCAGCAACCATTACAAAATTAGCTTTCAGCATTTTACAATTAACGTGTAAGATCATGACCTTATATTTCAGCATAACATATCAAATCCTATTTCTATTAATCCAGGTCTCAAGATATCTCTGCGTTTGCTGCAGAGATAACTATACCAATACGAAACAATTTTGCATTTGAGATATTGAAGGTGGGTTTTTTCTCCATGTTGATTTTTGATTTTACAATCAAATGATCTGATATCACTGATCAGTAAACAAACTTAAGACTTCTTACTTATTTCCAAATACTACGTATTGTCTGCTTTAGTCTTTTGTCAGAAGACTTACTCAGTGGCCAAAGATAGTATTTTTAGCAAGGTAAATATATATATTGGATATCTTTTGTATTTAATTTTAGGGCCCATACTCAAACCCTATCAATTCTGTGCCGACATGGCCTGAAGCAGGATATCACAGTGAAACACATCAAAGTCAGACTGGAAATATTTTCCCCTCAAATGGGAACTTCCCGAAACATTTCACTGTAGCAATAAAAAAAAATAAAAATCGAGGATTATCCCAAATAAAACATGAACGGGAATTTCAGATATCAAATCTGTATTTTTAGACACGTTGGGTTAGGTAGTAAAAGTCTCAGCATATGACGCTATAAGAAAAATATAGCTGTTTGTAGTGCTGCGAGTCCAATATTTTGAGGTCTATGAGAAAACTGCATCCCTTCCTTTAGAGCCTCAAGAAAACAAAACTCCCGAAATGTAGGGAGGCCTTGGTGACACAAGAAAAATTGCAGAAAAAGGACAGGCAAATTTAATTTCAATAATGTAATTCCATTTACACTCTATGTTTTGCAACAGAGTTATTTTGTTAAGAAACACTCATGTTAAAATTTGAAGTTATGGATTACGTAACTAATGGAGAAGAGACCAGGCAACTCAGTTTAGCCCAGCGTACCTGGAATAACCATTTTCCAAGTCCAAGAAAGGAAGAATAAATTCTTTTAAAGAGTCTTGGTTGGACTGGGACAGGGGTTCAAGTAGGGAACAGGAAAGGAGGAAAATATAAATAGAGGGCCAGTATGTTAGCTAGAATGTGAATGAGTGTACGAAATTAAAATAAACCAATTCAACACCAGTATCATTGCTGTCCTACATCTGTATACAATTTTAGGTTTACACGTTTCTCTGTTGCAGTCTTTCACTCCGCAAAGATCATAAGGGGCCGTCTACACACTCGCTCTCCTCCTACTGCAAGGAAATCGGAAAGGGATGTAAAGAAGTTGTATTCCATATTTTCTTCTCTCCAGCTGAGATATTTTGGGTTCAAAATAAGAACAAACCAGCTTGACAGCAGTCTTGATTTACAGATGGGTTTTAGGTTATAGCAGTATCCTGAAACACTCAGGTCGCTTCACCTATCACTAGTGACAAGCAGAGTTGTTTCCACAAGACAACTGATGAAACTTCATTATCCACTAGCCTAAATCTGGTAAATGCTTGCCTTCAAAACTGAAAAACTAGAATTATCAGAGGTTTCCTCTTGAAAGAGAAGTGTCATAAAGTTGTAGATGCAAAAGTATTTGTGTTAACAGTGTCTTTTAAAGACAGTCTTACTGCTATAATCAAACATATTCAAAAGCAGAGCGAAATTTAAAAAAAAAAAAGCAAATGGTAAACACAACTGATACATTTGTAGGGGATGCCCAGAATACTCTACACTATTCTTATTTTTGAATTCTTACACCTTTACAGAATTTTCATGTGGAAAACAAACTATAAACAAAACCAGAAACCTTTTCGCATACCTGAATCAAGGATTCACTCAGCTTCTCTTCATCCACCTCTAAAATTATATTTTTTATTTCTTCATAAGGCAAACGGAAAGAACCCAAAAATATTGCTGAAATTCAGTAATAAGTAATTAGAATCAAAAAGGTCAAAAACATTGATGCAAGAAGGCAATTCCTAGCAACTCAAAAATCATATCTGATTCAAATTAAGATGTTTTACAATGAAGAAGTTTTCTATATAAAATAAATAGCCACACCATTGCAGTTCAACTTAATAATTTTACTTCTAAAAAATAAAAGTATGACAACAGTTTTTACTGTTTAATCAGCCTCAGCTGCTCCCTAGCAGTGTTACTTATCTCTAGCACTGAAGTCCTATCTTTATGAATGACAACATACCTGCATTACTACTTAGACTTACTCAGTCACTCGAAGACTTTAACTATTATTTTTTGCTTTCACAACTACGTATGAATAGCTGTACTGCATTTACAACTGATTGAGTGACATTTACCTGACATTCTAGAAAAAAGTCCATGTCAAAAGTAAAATTAAGAGCTGAGTAAAGACAAAAAAAATAATACCCAAACTCTACCACTTTTTAGGATAAGTAAAATCATACAAGAGACAATATAAATTGTGCACCCTTCAAAGATGGGAGTTTTCAAAACAATTTGGTCTCAGGATGTTCTAATATCTCAGCAGAGCCTCATTCAGTATACTACAAAGTATCCTAACACAGATGTGTTAGCATACCATTTTCAAATGCATCCATATTTTCAAAACTTGTAGTTTTATATCACTTGTGTCATAGAGCATTTTCTGCTTCAGAGAATGTGCTCACGGATGTGGTAATAAACAATGCACAGATTTGGTTTTACTCACTTCATTTGCCACAAGCATAGATGGCCTTTTATAGTATTTCAAATTCAAGTAAGTGAATCTACTACTCTCTCAATAACTAAAGAGAGAAGCAGCACGTTAAAAAGAATAGGTGGGGCTGTTCTCCTTACAATTCATAGTAGTATTTGCACCTAACTTACCCTGTTTCATAACATATGGCCTATCAACCCCAACCCACAAAACCTACCAACACTGTGCCTTCCCTTATACTTCCAGTCTAAAGCAATTAATGAAATAATTTTTTCTTACCGAAAAAAAGGTCATTAACATTTAAGTCTACATCATTTTCCCATATTACTTTAAGTTTTCCCAAGTTGCATAGCGTATTCAAATCATACATATATGTAAAGCCCTTCTGAACTTAAGACTCATGTTCACATTAGCCAGTTTTTAGAAAAAGAATATTGCACATGTAAACAAAAAGGAAAGAAAACATTTAAGAAGTCATGTGCACATGCTAATTCGACATTCACCTAATGCATTTGATATCACTTACATAGGTTTTGTGCGCTTTTTCCATCCAGAACTCTTAATTCTTTAATCCTTTTCTTTGACTGAGCTGTCTTCTTTTCTTCTGATTCTTCTACTGCCTTTTTAGCTGTAAAGAATGTATTTATTAAATTCTGATTCATTATTACAACTGCTAAATCTAACAGACTGAGAGCAACTCAGCTAGAAAGCCATAATAATGCATCTATTTAGAATCAGTTCAAGGCAAAATGAATCCACTGACTCAACGTACTGTAAAATATCCAAAGAAACAAAGTAAATTTACGAAATTAGGAAGAATGTGAAATGAAAATATTATTATGACAATGACCGATTTTACCAAGCACTATCAAATTACATGTATGCTTTAACCCACAAAATTTGTTATCTTCAGCTCCATTTTATTCCAAGCACCTTTAAAAATAGTCATTTGGTGTTACTTCAAAGCACATTAGTGCCCTCTGTTGAAATATTACTAATTCAAATACAATATCAAGTTCTTCATTCAAAACCAATAATATATATCATTTGAGATCTATCACACTATATAAAGGTAGGTTTTTAATAATTATTTATGTTGTCACTGGTAAAGAGCAAAAACCATATAAGAAAATACCATTATTATTTTTTTTTTAATTAGCAAGGATCACTAACCTTATATTCACTGCTTAAAATTCTATATAAAGTAATGTGGCATTGAAATATTTAAAATATATGCTGATATTTTCATAATTTAACATACTTAATTGTCACAAAATGTTCTTATGTATTAATTAAGTAAACCTATTAACAAGGATTTATTTACTTTTAAGTATCACATATTTGGCACTGAAGGAACAGAAACTTAACATGCTTAACATTAATTAAACCTAATGAACATTTTAAGTCATTCAAAAGTAACTCAAAAACTCTGAAGTCAAATTAGGAGGAAGTTTTAAGCAGAGTAAATAAGCCTTTCTCCTCTGAGCATTGTTTCTTGCTGTACTAATTTCATCAGCATAGGTTTCATTACAAGTATCTCCTAAGAAAAGATGTTCAATCTTAGTTGAAGAATAACACCAAAGCCTCAGTTTCAACCTCTTAAAAAACCCCCCAAAAAAAACCCCCAAAACAAATAAACCAGTTGTTTTTCACCTTATACACATTACCACTAGGAAAACATGTTGCATAAAATAATTCTACTGCGTTTATACCACTTGAATAATTAGTTTACCTTGGGCATTTTTGGAGCAGCGTAAACTAAGCTAGTACAAGATAGTTCTCTCATTCCCAGCTACCTCTAAAAAGCCTAACACAGTAAAAGCTCAACAAAAAAGACGATTCATCAACAAGCTAATACTTGCTCTCCCCTTGCCCCACAATTACTCTGCAAGCCTAACTATATATGACCAGCTTGCTTTGTATTTATAACAGGACCAAGCTACACATCAGCTTAATAATACACAGATAATACCCCAAATTCACACCAGCACTGACCCTTTACCTACGATGAATGACTTTTTAAAATCCTGAAGTGATACTGCATGAAATAATCACACCCTTACCACTAATCGTTCCCACTTAAACAAGCAAATAAAACCAGGTGCTCAACAAAACAAACAAAAAACCTAAGAGTTAAAAATTAGTTGACCCATGAGAAGACAATAAATATTCTGAGTTCAGTTATATGAACAGAAGCTACTGAAAAGCCTAGATTTGTGTCTGTTCAGACAGGTGCAAGAACTGATTCAAGATGAGTGACCTATTCAAATCTGTTTAAGAATCAAACTCTCGGGATTTCCATATATGACTGGGTCTTTGAAGTGTTAGCCAACACACACCCTCACTACCAGCTCACAGGGTACTGTACTTGTCACGTTAGTTGTGAACACTAAGCAGAAACCTGTTCTGCAATCAGCTAAGGCAATACACACACAAAAACAGGGTTCAACTACAGAGATAAGAAAAATATGAAGTTTTAAAAGAAAACTGAAGATGCAGATGTTTTTGTTACCAAATGTCACCCAACAGACAGGTAATATTTAGTAGTGATTCGACTGTGATAGGACAATGCAGAAATTTAAATAAATTAACAAATAAAAAGCTACTTGATACATTTCAGCGTCAATATACTATTGCTGACCAACCTCTCAACATCTTTCAGGTACTCCTTTCACAAGTGCCTGTTTAAAGACGAGACACGCTGTTCAGGTTTGATGCCACAGAACCGGAGGGAGAGGTAAAAAAAGGATTTTATACCAGTCAACATAGGGTAGCTCAAAAAAGCAACATGAAAAAACCCAATCTGCAAGCTAAAGCACCTCTATTACATCATACAGACCTTTGAGTTTAGTGCTGTGATTATTCATTACAGCACTTTGATAATGGCACTGGCTTACATCTTCATTCAAAATGTTTTCCAACTGACAGGCTGTACCTAGAGCTAGTGAGTCATACCCAGGTTTTCCGTAACAAAGGTGGTGGTATTTAGAAAAACAGGTGTAGCAGAGGGGAAATTTCCTTTCTTTCTGACCACAGCAACAGGACACTGAAAGAAACAGGTCAGCTCTCCAAGTCTGAAACTTTATTCTACGGGGCCCATCTCCCACCCAAATCCATCCTGAGCTAGCCAGCCTCCTCTCAGTACCCTGCTTAAGTTTGCCTCTCTTATTTCAGAATACGACTGGCTTTTTCCCCACCTAAAGTCAGGCTTGATCCAGATTCACGGCTCTCCTGTTTCACTTCCCAGAACATGCTCACTAATCAAGTTTATGTCAGTACTCCACTGCAGTAACAGCCCTGGAATGATGGCAGCATCCTCCAGGAAGTGGTTAAGCCTGTCCAGGTACTCCAGCAAGTCACTCTGAACAAGTGAATAAGACCTCCTGCACAAGTTCTCAGGAAGAGAGTCCAGGAGCCCAAGCATTTGTCACCACCAGAGCAGATTTCAGGTCGAAAAGGGCCCATCAGGTTGTCCTCTTGCATTTCAGAGCACCATGTCTGTGGTAACTGACAGTGCTAAGGCGCTCTGGTTGTGTTGATGCAAAGCAGTTTCAAATCCCCTACATCTCTGTTTTACTTCTTGAAAAGTAATCCCTTTTCACACAAATTTATGTAGACCAATATTTGGACTTATCTGGAGTGTATGTACATACACACACATATATTTATTGAAATGAGAAAATACCCCCTAAGGCATAATTATCTCACACCTGTTACGCGTATAGAAAGTTTTGGTTGAGTTTCTTTTCTGTTACCATCTACCTCAAGCAGACAGGAGAGGAAAAAGGCAGTTTTAGCATTGGCAGAAGCCTCTTTGCAGATCAGAAAATACAGCTCTAAACACCAATATTACGTAACCTCTTTTTTTTTTTAATTTAGATTAGACAACATATTTGTTTATCAGTGTTGGAGGAAAAAAGCTGATGCAACATGCTGCAAGGGATTGTTTTCTGTTCATCTTATATTACGCAACACACATGCAGCTCAAGTGTGTACATTTAGCGATACCTTCAGCTGGGAACTAATGTAATCCCACAGAAAGTGCACTGCTTGAAACCCATGTAGGGTTTAAAGAAAAAATGGCAACACTAAACAAAATGTTGTATAAGTTTTAAATATGTTAAACAAGACTCCTGGTAATCATGGCAAAGAACAGACACAAACACGGCAAAATGCTTCAGAGGAGTAATTAAGAAAAAATCCTACTACCAGTACTTTTGTACTTCTGTAGCCAAAGAAGCAAGCACACATGGCTCTTCAAAATTCCTGTTCTACACCTGTTCATTAATTCAGCAACTAAATGGCATTAAGTCATCATAACAAATTGTTAGTAATATATACAAGTTTACTTAATATTATTGAAGCTGTTAAAGCATTTTTCTGAGCTGAAATGTCTAGTTCATATTAATCTCCTCCTTTCTTTTTTTAAATAACCAGCAAATAATTTTAATAAAGAAGTAACAGTAGAAACTGCCATTCATGAACATGATGAGGATGAAAATGAAAGGGAGACAAAAAGGAGTACACTGAATTACAGTATGGAGAAAGCAGAGATTTAGGAGAACTTTAGCTTATTTGAACCTGAGCCTTAATCTCCAATTTCTATCCAGTCTTTACGCACAGTGAACAAATGCCCTTATATTATCACAGGAAATGAATGAGTAATTTCATCTTATTTCCATCTGGCAAGTGGCTTACCAACTGCATTTACTAGTATTTGGCAGCAAAAGTAAATACACAAAAGAAATTAATTGCTTTATTTTTCCCTTTACCTGAAAGAAGATTAAGGGATGTAAACTATACATACAGGAGTATGCTTGAACAGCTGAAACTATTAATTACACTGAGAAGTTCACTCACAAAAATCCCCCACATCATAGGACTTGGTAGAAAAGTGAAATAAGGAGCTAGTAATGGCATTGAAAGATTAGATGTTTTGTAGGACAAAAATTCCGTAAATTTTACTGCAACATAATAGAACTTTTTTAAGCCTGGCTAAATTGATGATATTGGGAAGCTACTGATAATTTTCTATTTCTACTTTACTTCTAGAGGCACCCAGGAACAGAAATAAAACTCAAAGAAAAGGGGAGAGGGAAGAAAGCCAAACATTACACAGTCTGAAGTCTGCACTTGTTCTCTTCCCTCACCAATACACCAACATCAAACCTTTGGCATTTGTCCAACCACATCCTTTCCACACTCCAATGAAACAGTGCAGCAGTTCACACAAGGTAGACCTAGTTAGCACAGCTGTTAGCATAAGCCTGTGAACTTCCACCAACCATTTGTTTCAGTAAAATAGAAGAAATATGACCACTCTTCCTCCAGACAGCAGAATGAACTGGCAAGTTTTGCATGCTCAAGGAAACGGATAGCAAAGACTACACAAAACTATGCAAAGAACCTGCTGATCATCAAGAAGTGCAAATGGGTCCACAATCTTCTGGAGCAAGCAGAGCCCTGTCAATGGCAACAAGTCAGAAAACAGTGGTGCAGACTAAATGGACCAGTGACCAAGGAGGTATTCTCTAACCAATCCTATAACCAATGAAACTAGACAATGTTCAATAGATCTCAGAGGAGAGACTCTGGGAGATGCCACGGTCCTGCACCCGGACTATGCAT